GGTAGCTCCGCATGTGTCCCCGTCCCCTTGGCAGGCTGTGCTGCCATGCCTACTCTCGACCATTTTTGGCATACCGGTTATACCTGAGACTGGAGATTTCAGCTTTGATTCACGGTTCAGTGGCTCTAAGACAGTATGGTATTTTATACCACGCTTGCTGACATCTTCTCCTGATTTTCCACTTTATTTCACCAGATCCTGCTGGTATCAGATGAAGAAGCCAGTGTTTCACACGTGGAGTTGCTGTACTTGGTCATGCAAGCAGATACGTCTCTTGGCAATTACCAGCATTAGTGATAAGAAGGATCTTATTTACACCTCCCTTTATTCTGGTCTGTATATGCAACCCTGGGACTTTGGCATCAAAGCACAAGCCATTTCCAAGAGTACTTGGAGTGTGTGTAAGCAGTATTTTTTACATTAAAGAAAAAATAGCCAGTTTTAGGGATATGTGATACAAAACTGGAGCTGGACTTCCCAGTAAATGTTCATAAACCAGTGAAGGTACAGGGGGTCTGGCCGCAGGGGGACAAATGGTGTCTTTTGCAGTCACCAGTGTAATGGGGAAGAAAGCAGGACTCGGTGGGATCCCACGCCCCTAAGGTCCTAGTTTAATCTCTTTGCTTGTGTACCTGCCTTTCCACAGTAGAAAGTTCTTGGATTCCCTGGGGCTCCAGGGAGATATCTGGGCTGGTCCCACTAAGCCCTGCTGGGCTTTCTGGCCAGAAAGGCTGTGGTGAACTCCGTGGCTACAGCATGGTGCTGGGGGCTTTCCTGCATTTCAGGTCATACCACTTCAAGCTGGTCCTTATGACCCTGCTTTTCTGTGGTCTAATGGTAAAGTGGGAGTGTAAATGGCTGGCACTGTGGACAACTCTCATGCCCCTCAAAAAGGAGTAGTTTGCCAGTGTGCTGAGCCCCAGTGGAAGAAGACAAGTGGAGGTAGCACAGTGAGTGAAACTGGAGCACAGAGACTTTCTTCTCTTGCAGTTTTATTTCACTTCAAACAAATAGCATCTAGAGTGGGACATCATGTGGGAAATCAGGCAGGAAGTTCCCACAATGGGCCTTCAGAAGAATTTGTAGGGCCAATCCTAAGTGCCTCTGTCTTCCTCCTCCTCCTCCTCTTCCTCCCTGCCCTTTGAAGTGTGGACTTCATAGATGACAGCACAGACGCCAGCCAGCCAGGCTGCCATGGTGCCAGCAAAGAATATGCAGAAGCCAATGAGACACAAAAAGATGTAGTCTTGTTTGTACAGCTGGGTCAGGCAGTTGAAGTGAAGCTGTGCCTCCACTGCAGGCATTTTCAGGGCACGCAGGCCTTCTGGGGTGTAGCAGGTGATGTTGTCAGCATCTGCAGAGGGAAAAGCAAAATCAAAGCTCTCTTGCCTGTGTCTTAAGCATTAAACAGAAGTCCTGCTAGAAAAATGATGGAGGAGTTTTCTAAACTCCTGAAAAATGTCTACAGATTTCACACCCTCTCCCTCTGTGGCTTAGGTAGAATCAGACAGGCAAACCTTTGCCAAACCCTGCTAAACCACAACTGTCAGAGTGATTTCTGCCAGGTTGCCAGAATGATTTCGGTGGTGTTGCCTCCACAGGAAAATATTGCCTGTCAGATTATGCCACTGCAGCAAACTGCTGTCCCTGTACTTTTCATCTCTGCTGGTTGAGCGCTTTTATTTTAATATAAGAGCACTTGCTTTTGGGTTTTTTTTCGTCTCAAACACCTTATGAAGTGATACAGCCTAAATGATGCTGGAATAATGAGGGTTGTGCACATTGAACAACTAGGGTGGTTTGCAGTTAGACATAGCCTTACCTGCTCTGTGAGAGAGGAAGAGGGAACTCATCAATGTTTCAGTTCCACTGAAATAACGACTACACCCTGTCATATTGTGTTGATAAAACAGATGCTGGCTTTTCCCTCTTAAGTTAGTGAAGGCTGAGCGTGGTGAAAGCTCCATCACCTTTTGGCGTCTACAGAAGCATGGTGTGCCCTTGGCCATGGCTCTTTCCTTCCCTGCAGGTTTGGAACTCCCCGGGCCAGACACAGTTACTGTGCCAGGCACAGGCTGGGCACTGCTTGATGCACTAGATGGATGGGCTTGAGGGAAAGGGAGTAGTGGAGAGGAACAAGCTACAGGGGATTTGTATTACATTATATTATCATCTGTACTACTGAGTGGTATAGCTGCAGTGGTTGTTTGTGCTGATGTCTCTCACTGTCCTGAGTATAACCGGAGAGCTTTTATGTCTCCATCATGCAAATCCATCTAGACCTGGGCAGCTTCGTGTCACCACCTAGACTGCACAGATCCAGCTGAGCACAAACTAGTGGAGCAAAGGTGTTCTGCAAAGCAGCAGCAGCTTTTTAAAGGCCAGGATGGGGATCTGCTCGTGGCAGATTTCAGGGCTCTCTCCCAGGACCTCGTTGCAGTCAGCTGTCAGCCCCTATAACACCCTCAGTTTACGGCCGCCTCGTCCCGATGAAGAGGGAGCTGCCTTTCCCTGCCTAAAGGCAGGCGGGTGTTTGTGACACAGGGTGTCGAGCCTGTGTTCCCTTACTGGCAGCGTGAAAGCTTTGCAGGGCTCTCACACCAGTCCCGGGAGGCACACGGCCTCCTGCGGCCTCACCCACAGCGTCTCGCCAGGATGCAGCAAAGCCCAACAGAGCAAGGAAGCGGAGCAGCCTCTGCGGGCTCCCTGGTTTCTTTGGCTCCCTCCTTTCCCAGAGCACAGTGCAGGGATCCATACTCCTACCTCCAGTCTTTGCTGCCACTGCACTTCCTACTCCTACCCTCCCAAATTGCCTGCAATTAGCTTTATTCTCCTGTTCCAGGGTTCAGTGTGCTATATCCAATCTTACTGCTAAGAACAGAACTTTTACACTGTTCCATAACTGCCTGTAACCTGTATGAGGAAAAAAAAAAAAAACAACTATCTATAGGGAGCTTAGTACATTTAGTAAGACAGAGGGATATCCTTAATTCGGTTCTGTCCTAACACCAGCTTTCATTTCCCCTTCCCTTTTCTCCCTTGGGGCTCTTTTGTACCCCTTATTCGATGGACAGACTTTCTCAAACAATTCCTCTTTCGCAGCTCTCTCACTGGTGTGTCCTGCATTACTGAAAACCAGGCTTTCTTCCTCAGTATGTGCTGTGTTCCTTTTCAGTTTGGAAAATCAAGTTCATGTGCTGCAGCTGCAGAACAAAGCTTTGCCCTTGGGACCAGTGTTTTTCTGGGAAAGGGAACTGGTGATCACCCTGCCTCGTGAACACTCAGTGTCCACAGCCCAGTTGCAGAATCTCTCAACATGACGGGAAACAGCTGGTTTTGGGACCCCAGATGATGTGTAAGGAAAGAAGTCTTGGAGACCCTGTTTTCAAGAAATGGCTTTTATTCAGAGGCAAGTCGTGCTGTGCTACTGCAGCCCGTGGGACTCAGCGCTCACCTGCATTGCGCATACATTTCTTATTTTGTAAAACTTAAAATAAAAGAGAGCCAATTTGCTCTGGAGTGCTGGAGGAAGAGTGGGAACATATGGAGCCTCCCAGCCATAAGGATACAGACACTTTTCTGCGCACAACTTGCATTCTGTTTCACTCTGTCAATCAAATTTCATCTAGGACCCAAACCAGAGCTCCCATGGGAACAACAAAAGGGCTTTTGCTGACTTCTGAGCATTGGTCACAGTCTGATACAGAGGATCAGTAAAATGTACCTGCGCTGAGGGCTGAGGAGCACTGTGAGAGCTGGAGGCTGAAGGATTTGTAATTTTTATCTGTCTCAGCATAATGGCTGCTCTGCTCCTAAGGCAAAGGGCATTGTGTTCACTCTTCATGTACAGAAACGGGCTGGCGAGGAGAGGCGTGTGACCACAGCCCCACGGAAGTCAGCAGCTAGAATCTCACTGGCTTCCACGCTACCCCACACTTTTCCTGGAGACCCCATCAGTGAGAAATGAGTGCAGAAGAGGAGCTGACTGGCTTTCAACCTGGCTTTGTTTTCAGCATTGAGCGGAATTGCTGCTGTAGAGGTTGCACGAATGAGGTCTTCCTGCCAAGCACGTTGAGCAGGAAGAGGCTAGTGGGAGGTGTCGGAGGTGAAGGGGATAGGGGCCGAATGGTGGAGAGCTCAGGGCTGGAGAGGCTGCCCTGAGCAGGTCAGAACAGAGGCAGGAGAGCATTTCCACAGAGGCGTGTTAACTGATCATTACGGAGATACCGGTACTGCAGCAGCACCAAATGATCAGAGCAGATGGAGACAAGGCAAGAAATTCAGAGCAGCAGCTTTCCCAGGGCAGATCTCCCCAGGGCCGTATCGAGCTCCTTGTCCTTGGCACTGCAGCCACGGGGTGCTGTGACTCATAGGCACAGGGACACCTCCTGAGGCTGGAGCTAGGTGTTTTAGAAGGAGCAGCAACGCCCTAGCTGCAGGCTACACCTTCCTGACTGTCCTGAGCGTGTGAGCAAGTGTGACTCTGTGGGTGGAGCACGTGTAACCCAGCTGCTCCGATCCGTGTTTTGTGCAACACCAGAAGACAGGACCTACAGTCGACATGCAGTGGCACAGCCCCGTGAGCTGAAGTTTTGGGAAAGAAAACAGAGGGCCCTCTCCATTCTACACAGATCTGTAGGAGCAGGGAGGAGAGAGGTCCTGCTCACACAGCCCTCACCTGGAAAATTAACGTTGCTTTCTGTCATCCAGGTGATGAAGTCCAAAAAGGAACAGTTGCAGTGCCACAGGTTGTCACTAAGCCCCAGAAACCTCAGGTTGGGCAGGTCCCGGACAGTGCTGGTGTCCAGGAACGTTAAGCCTGTCCGGCTCACATCCAGGTGCCTCAGCCAGGTGTTGTTGGCAAAAGCATCCTTCTCGATGGCCACAAGGTTGGGATTGTCTGAGATCTTCAGCACCACCAGGCTGAGGAGGTGTGAGAAGGTGCTGAAGGTGACCTGTGTGAGGTTGTTGAAGCTGAGGTCCAGATAGACAAGCTTGGCCACACCAATGAAAGTGAAATCCAGGTCATCCCCCAAGAGGTTCTTCCTGCAGTCCAGATAGATCAAATCAGCCAAGAAGCTCAATTCCACTGCCGGCAGGTACGAGACATTGTTTGCCGCCAGAATCAGCTGCCTGGTGTCCAGCGGGATGGCCGCAGGGAACTCCTGCAACTGCTGCCCCGTGCAGTTCACTTCCAGGTACTGACAGCTACACCTGCTTGGGCAGCTGATGCTCTCTGATGCCATCCCCATCCCCAAGATAAACATGAGGCTCAGAGGCCGTGGTCTGCCTGAAGGAGACATGGTCTAACACCTGCCGGGCCGCTCAGCCCTTTGGGGACGGCAAGCAGCCCTGTGGAAGCAGCGTTACCGTCACGGCTGTGCCGAGGAGGTGTCTGGCTGCAAGGCTGTGGGGAAGCGCTTTGTGTCCGTGACCCACCTGACTCCTTGGCAGAGCGCCTGGCTGGAAACCGAGCCCGGTTTCTACATCGGCAAGTGCGGAACAGTGGCCGGAGCGTCTCCATATCACACCCGGTGCCAGCTGACACCTCCGTGATGCCAACACCTTGCGAAAGCTGCCGGGCTTCGGGGACAGGGCTGTGACCTCGAGCAGGTGCCGCCTTCAGCCGAGTGGAGGCGCGGGGAAGGCGCGCAGCGGGCGGGAGACACAAAACTGTGCAGGGCGGGTGTGAACTGTGCGATTTTTGTCACAAAGGGTGTCAAAATCCAAGAGGTGGCCACTCGTACTGATTAAGCAAGCCAGCCCTGGGCAACGCTGCACCGGAGTGGCTTTGTCTCCTTTCAGGAGGCAGGAGAAGGCGGCTAAGGAGGTTCTTCCAGAGGCATTTTTACCGACGGCCAGTTTTCCAGAGCCGCCTCAG